TAGCGCTTTATCCAGTCTTTAAGACCCCTCAAAGCGCTTTACATACTACATGTCATTCACCCATTCACACAGAGCAGTGTACCTACTGTAACTCTAGGACCTAACATTCACACACATTCACACACCGTTGGCCATGCCATCGGGAGCAACTCAGGGTTAAGTATCTTGCCCAAGGATACATCGACATGTTGACTGCATGGGCTGGGATCGAACCCACAACCTTCTGGTTGAAAGATGACCACACTCCCTCACAGCCACAGTCGCCCTGACTAAGTCAGCATAATAACTGTTTTGAATGTATGTGACAGATCATCAAAAAATATAGTTTATCTTGTTACATTGTTTCAGGAGCTCTANGACCAATTTTCTCATCGGGGAGGCTTGGAGAGCTGAACATAAAATCCCAAATGAAATGACACCTGAAGGTTTCTTTCTAGAGAGTCAGGACTTACAGTCTACTTACAATTATCTGGTGTTGTCCAAGCTGTTTAACTAAAACTAAACTAAAAACAACAAACATGCTAAACAAAGTAATGGATTTAAAGTTGAGCTCACCTGGTATATTATCATCTCTTTTGGCTCGGTCATCCCTGATGTCGCCAGACTCAAACTCCACCACAACCCCCCCACACTGAGTCACCTGCTCGCTGGGGCATTTCCTAGTGTAGGATCAAAGGTTAAAAGAACGGTTGCACTCTTGTCCCATTGTTGATACTACAGCGTGTCATTATTGAAGGTCACAGCATCATCATACTCATCATCATCATCATCATCATCATCATCATCATTTCTTTATTCAAAGAGACTCTTGGTCCATTATTACAAGTAATACAACACTCAAATATAAATTAAAAAAGGCAGTTATACCAATGTTTCCACAGAGGTGACTGGTATCGTACAGCACTGAGACACGGATTTGAAAGTAGCATAACGACAGAGTTATGAGAAACATTCAATCGACAGATGAATTTGTACATCAGATTTCTCAAAAGAGCATGGAACGTTTTGACTCGTGCATTACAGAACATTTCACTTGCGCTGCACCACCATGGTTTTCCAAGCAGTAAACGCAAACAGTCATTATATGCAACCTGGAGCTTCCGGAGGCTCGCCTTCTTATACTTGACCCACAAGGGGGCAGTATAGAGAGGAGTGCAATAAGCTCTAAAGAGGTTAACCTTAACCTTATCTGAACACCAAGAGAATTTTCTAGCCAACATGTTGGCTTGCATATATAAGATACGCCGCTGTCTATACATGTCATCATCATCATCAGCCATTTCATCTGTGATGATGTGTCCCAGATACTTTGTTTTACAGCAAACAGACAGCACCTGTCCTGACAGACAGAATGTTGGAAAACAAAGGTTCTTATCCCCTTTTGCTCTGCAGATCATTACAGTGCTCTTCTTAGCATTGTACTGTATTTCACGTCAAATTTGACTCCGTAATCAGAACAAACATTTAACAACTGTTGAAAACCAGCACTGCTAGGAGAAACAATTGCCAGATCATCAGCATACATAAGATGGTTTACAATCACATTACCAATCACACACCCTGTTTTACAGACACTTAAATCATCTGATAGATCATTCATATATATATTAAAAAGGCATGGTGAGAGGAGCCCCCCCTGTCGGACTCCATTACTAACACCAAATGGCGCCGAGACTGCATTCCCCCATTTTATCCGCATGCTCTGGTTGGCATACCAATAAGCCAGGATCCTTATTATACTGTTGGGCACACCCCTTTGTCTCAATTTTAAAAACAGTTTATGATGGTTAACTCGGTCAAAAGCCTTAGAGGCATCAATAAAAACCAATTAGAACAGTGGAATTCTGTCTTCTATATGTTTCTACCATTTCCTTCAAAGCATAGATGCATAGCTCAGTACCATGCTTAGCCTTGAAGCCAAACTGGTTATCTGAGGTACATAAATAAGAACATAGTCTATCTAACAAAATTCTTTCCAGGACTTTGGATAACACACAGTATGAACCCGATAATAAGCATAATATGTCCTCTTTAAATATATGCAGTACCAATGCTGATGGCTCAAGTAGTTGAAAACATAACGCCAGCAGCAAAGTATGTAGTGAAGCTCTCACAAAGACATCACAGAAGCATCACTCCAGCTGTCATTTCTGACATTTATTCCATGTCAAGCTCGTGTCCAAGGTATTTATAAGTCACTGTACAGTCTCCTGATGACATTTAATGTCACATGGCTGCTGACGTGAAGCTCCTTATCCGTGATGGTTATTTTCCAGATTTCTGAAATCCAAAATGGTGCAGGACTAGTTTCTGAGTTAAATACAGTAATCACTTTCACAGTGAATGAAGGAAACTTTAACACATTCTCACTCTGTCATCCACCTACACACAAACTGCGTGAGAGTGGAGGAGGTGGGCAACACAATCTCATAGCGCACTCCATAATTTGTCATCTTCTATTAGGATGGAGGATAATAGATGGAGAGTGACAGTGATATTAATTGCTTTCCTCCTCCTTGTCAGCCAGAGGTTAGGTGAAAAGACAGCAGCAGTTGAGATAAAGAAAGACAGAAAGAAAGAAAGACAGTACTTTCACATTACACAGTTTCCACAAGGACTGAAATTGCACAATGCACCTTTCTTCTTATTTACTTCCTCTTAGTTGTTTTCATAGCCCATTCAGTTTTGTACGTTCAACCAAATCCATCTACATCAGTGTTTATGTCTTTGTTTTTTATTGCTTTGTGTCATTACTGACCCTTTGCATGATCCTCTGCATTTCCAGAGAGCTTATTTTCCGGAGGAGAAATCGTGACGTCACATTCTTGCTTGTCTTTGGTCATCTGGCTCCAGTTAATTCACATAATCTGTCATGCAGCATATTTGAATTAAGCCTTGAAGTGTCATCATTGCTTCCAATAGAAAAATATGCAAAACAACTGCAGTATTATTATTTACACTTTTTTACTTTTTTTTTTTTTACATATAATTGTAAAGCAATACATGATTGTCACTAAAAGCCTTGTCTCTACATTACAATAAAATATAATTGATTAATTAATTTGAATAACAATTCAAGTTAGTAGCTATTAAAGGCATAAAAAGACAGAAATGTATAATTCTTTCTTTAATAGAAATGTTTCTTCTGTCCGTAAAGTGTCCAAACCAGGCTTTTCTGGATAAGCGCATTTTTAGTCCATGTCGGTTTCAGTTGGATTATTTGTCACAGTTGCTCCGATCAGATCAGTCTCCTCCATCTTGTAGATTATTTACGACTTTTGAATCCACATAAACACATCGGCAAAATCCAGCTTACTTTGAGCATGTGTTTTAAACAGTTTAATCCCTTTGTGAATTGTTTCCACTTGCGCCATCCTTTAATTTCTTCATACAGCGGGAATCCAAATGAATGAATCCTGAGTCCAATAACCATCAAAGTCACTCCAACAGTGCTCCTTAATTACGCTTTCATCCTCCTTTAACAAAATACTACACATTCATCCAGTTTGTGACGGTAGTTGTAGCATTTTTGAGACTTTTAAACTTTAATTACCGCTGTTGCACACACCCCCCCC